TCATAAAACCCCAAAATGAATGTTTCTTTCCCCCAATTTTTACGTAACAGCATCACAACCCTTCGCAATTTTACGAATTTTTCATAATGTAGTATGAGTAATTCATAATTTTACGAATCGTTCATAAATTATGAATGTTTCGTAAAGTTTTAGTGAGCCATTCTTGTACACTATTTCCCATTAAAAAATCGAAAATTTAGGAAAAATTGAACGATGAATGGTTCTTTATTTTATGAATGGTTCGTAAAATCTGAAACCTTTCGGGCATTTTCAGGCACTTTTTTCAACCAAAATATGAAAGGTTCACAATTGCTCTTTTATGATTTTTTCGTAGTGAGCATAAAACGAGCCATTCAAAAAATTATGAAGCATTCTCGCCAAATATGTCGTAAAATTACGAAAACTTTTTTCAGTGTACTGTGTCAAATTTTCAATCACCTGGGTCAAATAGTATGGTTTATATGGCTCAAAACTAAAAAAATGTTACTTTAGGGGGTAATTTCGGACATAAAACGTCACCCCAGGGAGAGTGGGTATGTCCTGAACACTTCCGTTTTCGCAGGGTTTGAGGGGTGGAAGCTGAATAGCTCTTCTGAAAGTTGAAGATAATCCAATACAACGATAACCCCCAACTGTTACAGGGGTTTGTTTTTAAACTTCGAATTTCATAAAAGGGGAAAAGCTACATCTTTAATACTTAGTGTTATGTGCTGTCCTACCTTAGTGTCAACGACTGTTTTGCGTTTAATTTTTTTTTCATTACATGAGAGTTGGACTTGGCAAATGGTTGCATAGCTCGCCGGTTTAAAACAATTAAAATGAAAAGCTTTCCACTGAGCCCTGTATCTTCCTAACCGTACATACGACACGACTACTTGCCTTTCATATGCATGTATGTGATCGTTCGTAATCTTGTAGAGGAAGACTTTAGATTCACTTTCGCGTAATAAAGTATGGCCCGAGTTGCCTATGAGAGCTAATCGGTCTAAAATTTATCAAATAGAAGCGTTTTTTAAAGGCTTACTAGTTCCCCCACTATTCCTCAAAACGAACTGCAAAGAGAGCAAAAACATGACTTCAAATTATGTATGAATGACCACCCCCACCTTACCTTTGCATGTAAACCCTTACGAATTTCTCACAAAAACATTTAGCACTTTTGAAAGAGACAGTGATCGATTTTTGGGGCCAAAATCAGAACGCAAAGTTGTTTTTTTCCCGGGGGGTCCGAAATTACCCCAAAAAAACGGGGTAATTTCGGACACTGCTTCGGACCCTCCACTGTAAAAAAAGGTGAGGTGCAGATATTTCAAATAAGCGCCAAAACGAAACTAAAGGTGGGCAGATGATAAATTCTAACCCTCAAGTCCATGACAGCACCACAACTTTCACAATTTCAAAAAAACCTATCAAAAGTGTCCGAAGTTACCCCGTTTCACGGTACGGACTCCAAGTTGATCCAATGCAGCTGAACAGTCTAGATGAAGGGCCAGACTGCTCAACTGGCACAAGTTTGACACCGATGTGCAGAATGTTTTTAATTTTGTATAGAGAATTCCGAAATCTGTTACAAATCACCCCATACTCCCTTACCCTCCAAATCTGGTAACTCTAGTGCGACTCCTTCTACACAGGCGCCAACATCAACGACAACAAAACACGGACACAAAGGCAAATGCATAGCCCCCGCCCCACTTATTTTCTGAATAGAAGGGCGGGCCAAAAAATCTACTCACAGTTAACCCGCCGGGACAAAAGTTATTTCTGTGCAGGCGCGAAGCTGCTTACATTTTATGAAAGTCATGATGGTTAAGGGGGCAATACACTGAAAATGGCCAAAAACTGACTTGTGCGATTGCTTCCATACGCGTCGTTGAGCGTTGTTCAAACTTTTTATGTGTCAAGACCTTACAAAAAGAAGCATCGAGAAGCATTTTAAGCCCAGAATGGCGTCGATCGGACGTCAGGGAGCGGAGCAGCGCCCAATCAAATTTTCGTCAAAAGTCGAACTGGCGGGCGTCCCTCAGTCCGCAAAACTGAAGATATCTCGACCCCGTTAGCGCCAAAATGTAGGCAATTGAAGCGGCTATCGCATGAACTAGGATTATGAACATCAAGCAACCTAAAGTACAAAATTTAATCCAAAAATACTTTTTGAGGATTTTGCAAAAAAGATCAAAAAGGTTTTTTTTTTCGTAAAATTTTGTACTTTTGATTGTTTGATGTTCATAATTTTAGTTCATGCAATAGCCGCTTCAATTACCTACATTTTGGCGCAAACGGGGTCGAGATATCTTCATTTTTGCGGACTGAGGGACGCCCGCCAGTTCGACTTTTGACGAAAATTTGATTGGGCGCTGCTCCGCTCACTGACGTCCGATCGACGCCATTCTGGGCTTAAAATGCTTCTTTTTGTAAGGTCTTGACACATGAAAAGGTTGAACAACGCTCAACGACGCGTATGGAAGCAATCGCACAAGTCAGTTTTTGGCCATTTTCAGCGTATTGCCTCCCCCCCCCCTTAAGTTAAAATATCAGATTTCCTCAGTTAAAAGAGTCCTCGCGAACGGTTATCCTGTGTCACGTTAAGCAGGGATTGGCAACAGCCCGGGGAGAGCGTAAAGCCATGCTCGCGCCATCAGTGCAGATGTTACAGCCTTGTGGAACCACCGAAAAACACGAGAAATCATAAAATGTAGGAAAAACCTCGTTTGCGTCATGAAAAGGTTTTCGCCCTTGGGGTAGGTTGAATTGGAAGTATCGGGCAGGCTACTAGGTCTAATGCACCCTAAATTTAACGCTCTTTTGATCTGTGCAAGGCGTTTTGCAAACAACGGCCTCGATTCTACAAGCGAAGAAAAGGCCGTAACCCCTGCACCTCGCTCGAGCATGGCTTGCGTAAGACATTCGAGTTTTCATTTTGCACCCTCTCGGATGCCGCAGTCACCTTAAAACCTCACAGATTTCCTTACCTAACTGTCGATCATTTCGACGCACTAGCAGCACTATGTCACAGCGCAAACTGCGTATCTCTAGGTGCACTGTAAAAAAAATATTCTGAAATTTCAGACAAAATTTGACTGAAGTTAATTAACAGTAAGGGGTTCTGAAATTTCAGACCATTTCGGCGGTCTGAAAATTTAGAATAGGGTGGTCTCAAAGTTTAGAATTATGGGTGGTCTGAAAATTAAGATTTAGGTGGTCTGAATTATTAGACACGGCCAGTCTGAAGAATTCAGACAAAAACACAAAATTGTAACGTTGAACCTTCACTCCATTGCGAGAGAAGTCTTTGATAGAACTTGCGCGTTACTTATCGGGCTTGCTCTTTTACTCGGAAACTCCGAATAACTTGGTATTCGAACCATCGAATCCTCGCTCGTCGGCTTTGCGGGCTATCCATTGCACCATGGGACCGCTCTGAGAGCACGTCTGCAGGATGCCGATGACTGCAAGCGCGCTCACTGGACGCTGGGAGGCCACAAACAAACAAACCAAGCGCGTGTTGCAGGAGTTATAAACTGCGGACAACTTGGGCTGTTCGTGAATATTTAAGATTTTGTATCGAGCTCACAAATATTGCGGTTAAATTTGGTCAAGTGAGGCAACCAGTCTGACATTTCAGAACAATACGTCTCCCGTTTCAGACACATGGTCTGAAAATACACAACCAGTATGAAATTTAAGATCAATCGGTCTTCCTTTTCAGGAGAATAGTCTGAAAAGGCGATTCAGACTACATGGTCTTGTACTTAGTCTGAATTTTCAGTCGCCCCTGTCAGACTTTTTGTCTGGATGGTCTGAATTTGCTTTTAAGACTGCGAAAGTCTTAAATTTCATCCGAGGATTCTTCTTTTGCATACTTCTGGTCTTAATTCAGAAATCAGACCACTAGGTCTTACAAAATTGGTCTGAATTGTAAGATTTTTTTTAACAGTGTGGAACCGTTCGGTCGCAAAGAGGGAGGCACATCAAATTGCTTTATTTCTGGAGAATGACCCATGTCCAGCACCAGCTGCTTTTCAGTAATTTTCTCTTCGTTTGCCACAGTGCGGCCAGACAACGCTGCCACTGGCTTCACTGAGCGCCAATCGGAGCATAGTTGGCCACCTGTCCTGGACCGTCGGCGTGTTTGTCAGAATAGAGGGAGATGTCGACTTCTACGATGTAAACGAGGGGGTCCTAGTGGAAGACAACCTTGTAATCACTGGTCAGTACTTGCCTTCTACCGTCATTCGGCACTTTTTTTTCTACGAATGTGACGTCATATTCGTTAGAATGTGACTTTGGTTACGTTCTTTATGATACGATGTTATTACACGCAGATTAGATTTGTTTTGAAGGAGATTGATCAAAAACTGAATGAAAACCAAATCTGTATCGACATCTTCTGAATTGAAAAAGTGGTAACTCCAAATGGATCAGAGTGGGCGACGTCGAGCCCGACTTAACGCACCAAACCGCATCTCAATACGTTGAAAAGTAATGATTATAGAGCCAACCCGGAGCCAACAGACACGAAATATGCCCTTATTTTGGCGACTGCTCATAAATTGGCCATGCCACGTCACGTTCTAACGACTGTGGCATCGTATTCAAACGAACGTGACAACATTTACACATTCCAGCAAAGGGGACGTCACATTCGTTAATAACAGTGTCTTTGGCCTCATTGGCAGATGCCAACATTCTGGTGGTTCCCAACGGGCGGAGGAACGACTCCGGAGACGTCCGGCTAAAGGCCGCAGATATGCTGTACGTGGTGTGGGTTAGCCCCAAAGGAAAGAAGACGAAGGTTGAGGTGAGTGAGCTATCCCTCGGTCGGTGGCGACTTGGGGTCATTGCACTTTCATGTTTGGCCCACTTTGCAACCAGGTGAGCTCCCTGCAAGTGCACGAGAGCGACCACGCACCAGCCCGCGACCGTGCTTGGGACCTGGCGCTGTTGGTGCTCAAGACCCCCATCAAGAATGGTGTCTTCCCCTGCCTCGACCTGGACGGCTCCTCGCCAAATCAGCCGCCTCTTGTCACGTCAAAAATTGGCGTGGTCGGTAACCCTTTAAAGCGTTCCAGACAAAAAAAATACGATTTCAAGAAATCTTGGTGGTCACGAAGTTCATTTCATTTATGTTCTGGTTCAACAAATATAGCTGAGGTCAGGACTGCGTTGGGCGGAGTTCTGTTTAAATTGGTAGACCACTATGAATTAACTAACATAAGTAATAAAGACAAATGTAACATACATTTGCATCTGCAAAAAAAGCCTGCTCAGCGTCAATGCCGAAGCGAGCCGACACTGCAAGAAAAAACCACAACAAAAGTACAACAAATATTCAGTCAGTTTTATTTGTGCTTTAAAAGTACAACAATTACTGTACAAAGTACAACCATTTTTGCACAAAGTACAATGAGCCCGAGGGTATGGTTCCGGTGTCGTTGTACTTTTTACAATTCAGATTGTACTGTCCACAATCCTCGATTTACCCTTTTTTGTAATCCCCGTTGTACTTCTATTGTACTATCCACACTTTTTCCTGCAGTGGAAGCCCATCCCCTGGCTAGTACACTACAAACCTAACTGTCTACTAAGTACACACTTACAAATGCATGCTTGCAAGTACACACTTACAAACGCATGCTTGGCCAAGTACACACTTACAAATGCATGCTTGCAAGCACACACTTACAAACGCATGCTTGACGCATAGAGTTATACGGCGTCAAGCATGCGTTTGTAAGTGTGTACTTGCAAGCATGCGTTTGTAAGTGTGTACTTGGCCAAGCATGCGTTTGTAAGTGTGTACTTGCAAGCATGCATTTGTAAGTGTGTACTTAGTAGACAGTTAGGTTTGCAGTGTATATCCAAGGTTCATCCGGGCACTCGTTTTAACGGGAAGTGAACATCCAAAAACCCTATAAATTGGGGTTAAGGGTAGATACATTATTCGAAGGTTCCATTCACGTCTATGAATAGAAAGGGCTAAAAGAATGATTTTTTTTGTATATGACTCTGAAGCGAAGATGCATTGCCCGTGGATTAAATATAAATAAACTAATCGAAAAAGCTTAAAACAATTGTCTTTTTGGTAAATGAAGCTTACTGATCGGACTTAAACTCAAAAGTTGCAAAGTAAAAAATAGTTGGCAATGGGCAATGCCCATTTCCTTCAACACTGCAATTTGGATGGAAAGACTTCACGCCAAAATATGGCAAGACATTAAAGTCTCGCCAAGTTTTGGTCAGACCTGAAAGTCTCGCCAAAATTTGGTCAGACAAAAAAGTCTCGCCACAAAACGGTCATACACAAAAGTCTGACCACAAAATGGCGAGACTTTAGTGTCTGACCACGGCCTTAAGGCCGTAACCGTCCGGCGCATTACGGCCTTTCGGTGGCGGTCAGACACAAAAGTCTCGCCATTTTGTGGTCAGACTTTTGTGTATGACCGTTTTGTGGCGAGACTTTCTTGTCTGACCAAATTTTGGCGACACTTTTAGATCGGACCAAAACTTGGCGAGACTTTTATGTCTTGCCTCTGGAGTGGCGAGAAGTCTGACCCTTGGATTTGTAGTGAACCCAGCGTTTTAGTGCTTAGCAATTTATAAGCTTCTCTTTTCTTTCTGACATTTTTAAATTTCGCCCGATCAGTAAACTTCATATACCATAAAATTACTTATGTTAAGCTTTTTCGATTGGTTTTATCACATTTGAACCACGGGCAATGCACCTTTACTTAAGAGTAATTATTTAGTGTATTTGAACTTTAGTTGAAATAGTTAACGTGTCGCGCTGGTGTCAATTTCCATTCAATCACAAAATTTTATTCACCAAAAAGTTTAATTCCCTAAGCTGTTTTCCGTTAATATAGGTACATGGAACATTTAGATAATGTATCTACCCTTAACCCCAATTTTAAGGTTTTTTGGATGTTCATGTCACGTTAAAACAGTGCCCGGACGAACCTCAGATATTACTTCACATCGCCAAGCCTTTCCAGGGGTGTAAAAGAATGACCCTCTTTGAACCGTTCAATGTTCAATTTTTTCAAATTTGACACTTTTGACAAATTTTGTTCAAATTGGATCCTATTATTCATTCTGAGCATTTAAAAAAATTGATTGTATCTCACGGAAGATCACGGAAGAAACACATGTTATAGAACAAGGTAGGTTTACGCCAGACCGCGTCTTGTCGTAGCAGGCTTCGCGATGTCTCGCTGCCTGTTTCTCCAATCCGCGCCTGGCGTACCTACCTTGGCCTGCGGCGCTAGCCTGCCTTCGGCAGGCAATGGCTTGTCCATCGTCGGTTACTTCTAACTTGATGCATGCTGGGGGGCTCCGCCCCCAGACCCCCTTCATTCTAGATCCCTTGTAACTTTTAAAATTGTGTGGGCTGGGGGGGTCCGCCCCCCAGACCCCCCCTTTTTCAAGACAGAAGTGTTCTGCCTGCAGAAAACTCGATTTTTCGCCGTTTTTAAGGTGTTTTTCGGCTATAAAAACTGAACCAGTTGAGGTAGGATAGTGAAATTTCGCGTGTGCCGAGCCAAGGACATGCCCAAAAAGTGTGCAAAATCTCACTGAGATCGGCCGAGCCGTTCAGGAGGAGTAGTGCGGACACACACACACACAGACAGACAGACAGACAGACGGGCGGACAGACAGACAGAAAAAACTTTTCAACCCCAATGGAGTAACAGGCTTCGCTATCGCTCAGCCAATAACACAGGAAATGAAGAAGTTATTGGGCGTTTACGAGGCGAGGGGAAGAAAGGAACAAAAAAGCTACACCCTCGTAGCACTGAGAAAAGGCTTCTTGGACTATTACAAGGTAGGTTTACGCCAGACCGCGTCTTGTCGTAACAGGCTTCGCGCTGTCTCGCTGCCTGTTCCTCCAATCCGCGCCTGGCGTAACTACCTTGGCCTGTCCATCGTCGGTTACTTCTAACTTGATGCATGCTGGGGGGCCCCGCCCCCCAGACCCCCTTCATTCTAGATCCCTTGTAACTTTTTAACTTGTATGGGCTGGGAGGCTCCGCCCCCCAGACCCCCCTTCTTCAAGACAGAAGTGATCTGCCTGCAGAAAACTCGATTTTTCGCCGTTTTTAAGGTGTTTTTCGGCTATAAAAACTGAACCAGTTGAGGTAGGATAGTGAAATTTCGTGTGTGCCGAGCCAAGGACATGCCCAAAAAGTGTGCAAAATCTCACCGAGATCGGCCGAGCCGTTCAGGAGGAGTAGTGCGGTCACACACACACACACACAGACAGACAGACAGACGGACAGACAGAAAAAACTTTTCAACCCCAATGGAGTAACAGGCTTCGCTATCGCTCAGTCAATAAGTCTCTGCAGAATCAGAACCAATAGACCGATTTTGACGAAACTTGAACTAATGGCAAGACCTTTCTCTTCACTTCAGGCGAAAACCTCTTTCTTACCAAGATTGGTCCTATTTTGGATCCAATTTCAATTCTTTTCACTGTTCTTTCCTTTCCCGGTGCTGTACTTTTCTTACTCTTTCCGAGAAGTAATAAAATCACATCTATTTTGGCATTTTGTTCGTCCTGTGATGAACTGAAATCGACAAAAAGTGAACAATTTTATCGAGAAGGGACTACATTATAAGTTCCACAGAGCAGAATAGTTAGAGCCTTATTTGTAACTCCTGTACTGTGCAAAGTAGCCGTTTTGTACTTTTCTTCCCCAACCTACCCCTAGTACTACAAATATCTTCGTGAATTGCCATGCATAAGAAACTTACTATTTAAAACACCTGTGATATCCGTCAGGAACATTTCAAGCAGAAGATCAACGATTTCATGAGAACCGTTCTTGGTTTCAGGGTTACGCTTATGGTTTTTTTACCGTTTGCAGATGGAGACATGGCGCGGACTTTTCATCTCGAACCACCACATCCTGTTCGCACTGTCCACCCTCAGCCTGGAGGACTGCCGCGCGTGGCTGCATGGGCACAAGAGAGTGCCCTCCTCCACGGACGACGTTTTCTGCACGATATATGCCAGTGGTACACTTTGTTTCCCGTGAGTCTATTTGACGAGAAGGACTGACGCCATTTTCCCAACCCTTTTTGCTTGCAGAGATGGTGATGCAAGGGACTGCCTTGCTGGTGCAGGAGGGCGGCTCTTGGTTCCTGCGCGGCATCATTTGCCACGGGGCTGCGGGCGTATACGTCTTCACAGACTTAAATGGAGACAGCGTCAGGAACTGGCTGCGCGAGAAGCTACACCTCACGTCAAACAATGACCTACCGGAAGTCAAAACAATCTCGCCACTGCCCGGCGCAAGGCACTTCTTCTTCGAGGGCCCTAGCGCTGGACCTGGGGCTCATCTCGCTCTTCGTGGTCATTGCTGCAGCGGGGGCTTACTTCTTGCTGATCACGTTTCTGGCCGAACAGAAGCCATCATGTCGTGGCTTCCCGTTGCCAATGCTTCGCAGCCTTCAAGCGCCTGGGGCCAACGCCTGCAGCGAGGCACGCGAACACGGTCGCCACGGACCAGGACAGTTACGTCGACCAAGGCAACAGCGACGACGAAGAGACCAGACCAGCTCTCGCCGTAATCTTCAACAACGAGGCGGGCGCGCAAATCCAAGCACGCGAGTGATGTTAGACCGGCGACGCGGTTGGGATACTGCTACGGCTACCTACACTGAGAATCTAAACGCTATGAATATAGCGTCAATTAATGCAAATGCAAAACATTTTCAGCGATGAAAGAAATTCCAATGCACTTTCGTCAGTTTCAAATACTTTTTGCCAAGGGAAATAAAAGTATTTGTTAACATATCTCCCTGAAACCGCTCACTAAACTTCTTACGGATACATCTTATGTATGTATTCCGGACTTTTTTGTGCAATCGTAATGATGGAGGGATTTTGCTTGTGATACGGATGATTTCATCCATGCATGGTGTCCGTTAGGAGTTTTGAGTGGGGTGCTCGTTTTACTGCTTTCTTCCCAGCGTCCGGTTTTGTTCTTTCCTCTTGTTCTTCGATCGCCAGAATGCTCTTTTAACGACAATCTGTTTTTTAAATTTGGTTAGTGACAAAATCGGTCTGATACGTTTTTTTCGCAATTAAATGAACGGTTTTGTATGAGAATATCGTAAAATTTTTGATGTCATATTCCTATACATGTATATAAAAAATTTCACATATACATGTATAGGAATATTACCACACAGTGTGTGATCCACACATTGTATGGAAATTTTTTCCTTTACATCGGTATACCATTATGACTATACGTGTATAGGGGTTGTCCTATCTGTTGTACAGGATTTTTCCCATGCATCGGTATAGCAAAATTGCAATACATTAATAGAATTTCTCCAATTTAAGAAAAATTGCAAACTCTGCAGGCCGCAAGACTGAGTTAATCGTGGCAGATATTTTACTCAACGGGCATGGTTCTCGCCGGTTTGACATGATGCGTGTCGTCCGGTTGAGTCGGTTCACCACTTGGGCGAAGTCCGACATCACCAACTGTCCTCTCCAAGTTAGAAAGGAAATGTCCTAGTCAAAAATTGTGGAAAAAGTTGTATACTATTTACTTCAATCAGAATTTTTTTTTACCAGCGGGTGGAAACTCTACTGCTGAAAAAGACATGCAAAGGTTTTTTGTGCAGCTTAGATCTCGGAACCCAGAGGTGGTAGGTGAAATCCGAGGTCATATTTGGAATCCTCAGAAAATTTCACTCGGCGTAGGGTATGTTTAGAGCGGGAGGTCAAGGAAATGGTCGGTCATTTTGCAATGAGAAAAAGAAAAAAAGGAGAAAAAACGCTGTGGGACCATGATCGAAACGTTGCATTGTTTTGTGGTAACACTTAATGCAAGAGAACGGGACCTCGTAGGTAAATTCTGAGGTCATTTTCTGAACCCTGAGGAAATTTCCTGTGCATTACGCTGCCTGGAAGTGGTCAACACACCAAAATAACAGAAAACCGTTGCCGTGAAACTGTGAGAGGGTATGCAGCGATTGTATTGCATAAAATTACAAAACAGTCTGCCGTTGACTGCGTGTTCTAAAGGGTACAGACCCTCCTTCTTTGAAACTTATAGGTGGAATGCACACACGAAAGCACGCTGAATTCATATCTGTACTCAGAATTTGAATTGGCCATACCGTTGTCTCACATTAAGCATGACCAAATAGCAATTTTCGGGATAAAGCGTAAATTTCGATCCTGGTCCCAGAGCATTTTTCACCTGTTTTTTTACTTTCTCATGGCAAAATGACTGACCATTTCCTTTGCCCCTGGCAATAAACATGTCCTACGCCGAGTGAAATTTTATGAGGATTCCAAATATGACCTCGGATTTCACCTACCACCTCTGGGTTCCGAGATCTAAGCTGCACAAAAAACCTTTGCATGCCGTTTTTGGCAACAGAGTTTCCACCCGCTGTTTTTACCTCAATCAATGGACACGTTTTCTCAATAAATAACGCACAACACAACAGTTTTTAAACTAATTTTTGATGTTTAAAAACGCAGTTTCTATCGCACCAACCAAAAGGATACGACGTACTTTGCTCATAGGAAAAGGAGAATTATCACCCCTGAAAGTATCAAACACGACAAATAAATAGGGGAGAAAAATAATGGTTTTGCAGTAGTCCAGGGTTTATACCCTCCTCAACACACTTTGAGTGAGGTAAATATAAAATGTTGTAGAAGTTCATCGATTTTGACTAAATTTTTACTTTTGGGAATCTTAACAGATCAGCTTGGTTTTTATATCCAAAACGTTCCTTCTCTGAAGAAGCAGCGGCCCTTGGGAAAGGACGGGTGCGCTTTGTTACAATAAAGTCCTGTTCCACTGCAACAGTTCCCTCGCGTGCCGTCAACTCCAGTACACTCGCCGTCGAATGGGACGCAGTCAGTCGCACCGTCATCTGCAAACGTGGAGCACTTGAGCAGGCACTCTTCACAAAAAGGCATTTTGAAAAAAGCCTGTGACACCCTAGTGGTGCAATTTCTCTAATGACCAGGCGAATAAGCGTTTGAGAAAAAGTTTGAGAAAGCTCGACGATCATTTAAATGGATGCTTCGACTCTAGGTTGGGAACGTGGAGACGATACTTTTAAACCTAACAAACGATGCAACAGTTAAGGGGGGACCCTGGTGAAACTTTCAAGTAGGCTTTAAAATAATCCCAAAAAGTTGAAACTTTGCTTGATTATAAGGTTCATTATGGTGAGTTCATAAAACAAAATTCAATCCAAAATGTTGAACGGTCTCTGAGAAAAGTGGCTTTTTAGTGTTTTTTAGAGTGTTGGGGAAAAATCTTCCTGCGTCTTTCATTGGAACGGAAAGTCTTGAAAATTTTTTTGGGTCATCCTTAAGATGTATAGAAGAGATTTTAGTGACGGAATTTTCAATTTCAACTTCTGTCCTGAGATATCAATTTTCAAATTTTAACATTTAAAAAAAAGTGAATTTTTGCCTTTTTTTGAAACTTTTAGGTGTGTGTTAAAAAAAGTATGGTTGATATCAAGATTCCGTCACTAAAATTAGTCGACAAGTCATCAATGAATAGAGTCCATGCAAGACGACTCATGTAGGTGTCAACCAGGAACGCAGAAAGTCTTTCTTCGGCAAAATTTTTTGTCGACTGAGCAAAGCTGTGAAGTGGAGCGTATAAGCCAACGACAACTGATCTCAATGTTATTTCTTTCCAAATGATGAAAGAACTACCCACATAGTTTAAAGGTGTTCAACCTGTTGAAATTGAAACCTTCTATGCACATTTTTATCTATGAACTTTAAAAATACTATTTTTGGCAGTTTTGGCCATTTTTTCACCAGGGTCCCCCCTTAAAGAACGATCCAAAAGCTTCATTTGTGGGACATAGCTCATTCAATTCTCACCACTACTCTGCCCGGGAAGGTCATGCTGGGTTGTTTCTTCAGGTAGGTCGAGGATAGGCCTGACGAAGCAGCGCCCCGTCAGAGAGTGCGGCTGTTCCTTGTGGCAGTAAAGCCCTTGGTCAGCGCAGCAGTTGCCATCTGAATCGTTGGCCCCAGTACACACGCCGCGGTGGGGTATGCAGTCGTCCTGGCCTGCATCACACAGCATCAAAGATTCGGGAGTTAAGATGAAGGAAAAAGAAACCAGAAGCAAAGAAGGAAGTCCTCGATCAACAATGCAGGGGCTGTTTTGATGCGCAACTCGTCTCCCCACGGCACCTTGCTACTTCCTCGGTGGCTCAGACGCCAACCACATTGTCCCCAACCTACACTGTGGCAAAAACGTACGGAAAATTCTGTTAATTTTTTTTTGCCAAGATTTTCCGTAGCCCATTTATCAATATTCTCCGTAGGCTCTTACAGTATCCTCCGTAGGACCGTACAGTATTCTCCGTAGAACCTGGAAGACTGTATAGTCCTACGGAGATTACTGTACGGTCCTACGGAAAATATTGACCGGGGGGCTACGGAGAATTGCCACAAGCTTTTTACAGAATTTTCCGTAGCTTTTTGCCACAGTGAAAGAGCAAATGTTACCCCTTTTTTTTGTACCAACTACATACCTCTTTCAGTAGGAAAATGATAAATCCTAGCGTGCTGTACTAAAATTCCGACAAAAAATACTGTATTCTGAGTATTTTCTTTAAAGGAGAAGGGGGGGGGGGGCTCAAATTCATTCCTTTAGACCCCTTGATCACTATTACGGAAGTTTACTTGACAGCTCAATGACAGAAAATGACGCAACGCTTCACCAGGGCCCCCCCTTTTACTGAGAAAATTTGGTTTGTCAACGCTAGCCCGATAATAGGAGTTTTTTAGGAACCCATGCAAAAAAATATCCCCGAGTAACGGTATTTCTTTTTCCCTGTGGGGATAAAACTGCTGTTGGCTCCCTCAACGACTTCTTGACCTGTGAGAGGTGGCCGTGCTGCAGAAACCCGGTGCCTGTGCAGGCGGTCTGCCGGCTGCGACTTGATCGAATCCCGGCAAAGTCGTTCCTGGGGCGACGAAGTAGCACCGTCCCAGGGGCCACGACGGGTCGCCCTTGTGGCAGTACAAGCCTTGGCCCGTGCAGCAGTTGCCTTGGGTGCCGTGCTCTCCGGCACACACGCCATCGTGGGGATGCACCGTAGTTCATTCGGACCTGTAACACCCCAAGCATACACTACAATACAAACCTAACGGTCTACTAAGTACACACTAACAAGGTAGGTTTACGCCAGACCGCGTCTTGTCGTAACAGGCTTCGCGATGTCTCGCTGCCTGTTCCTCCAATCCACGCCTGGCGTACCTACCTTGGCCTGCGGCGCTAGCCTGCCTGCGGCAGGCAATGGCTTGTCCGTTGTCGGTTATTTTTTAACTTGTTGAATGCTGGGGGGCTCCGCCCCCCAGACCCCCCTACATTGTACATAGAGTTGTTTTATCTACAGATAACACGATCTTGACCCTTATCACTTTTTAACTTGTCGAGGCTGGGGGCTCCGCCCCCCACCCCCCTTTCTCCAAGACAGAAGTGGTCTATCTGCAGAAATCTCTTTTTTTCGCCTTTTTTTAGGTGTTTTTCGCCTATAAAAACTGAACCATTGAGCTAGGATGGTAAAATTTTCGCGTGTGCCGAGCCAAGGACATACCTAAAAAGTGTGAAAAATCTCACCGAGATCGGCCGAGCCGTTCAGGAGGAGTAGTGCGGACAGACCGACAGACAGACAGACAGACAGACAAAACTTTTCAACCCCACTGGAGTAACAGGCTTCGCTATCGCTCAGCCAACAAAATGCATGCTTTTGTAAGTGTGTACTTAGTAGACAGTTAGGTTTGCATCAGCCCTTGGGGCTTGGTGTTCTCTGCTCCAGGTCCCACACAGAGAACTCAATCAAGAGGTCTGCCATTCCAAGGCTTGATTGATGTTTAAGGAAAACGTACTTGAATATTATTCAACTTTTTTAGGGAAGAAATTAACCTCGATGGTAAAGAATTCACCTGAATTAAAGACCTGTATTTAAAACAAATCAGAAGAAATCGCAATTTTAGGGATGACTAGGAAGTTAGCTTTCACATCGGTTGTAAGTGCTTGTGACCATTAAAGCCAACATCTCACGGTCTCAAGAATTAAATGTGGAAAATTTTACATCCCAAACTACCGCACGCATTTGTAGTCATTCATAGTGGAATGCTCACCATTTCCATAGTAACATCGTCCTTCGCTCCACTGTGGGTTACTCTTGTGACAATACAGATTATCCTTGCTGCAACAGTTGCCTACTGTACCGTGCTCCCCAGTGCAAACGCCGTCATGACTTACGCACCGCAATGAACCTGAGATGAAGAAAAACGTATTCAATATAGCATTAAATTGGGTCTCCTAAAAATATCCTTGTTCAACTGCATTTCGTTTTACCCGGGGGACAAAACTGCTGTTGACTCCCTCTGCCACTTGTTGACCGGTGACAGTTGGTCGTCCTCCAGCAGGTGGTGCCTGTGCGGGCGGTCTGCCGGCTGCCCCTTGCCCGGCTCCCGGCAGAGTTGCTCCTGGGGCGACGAAATAGCACCGTCCCAGGGGCCACGACGGGTCGCCCTTGTGGCAGTACAAGCCTTGGCCCGTGCAGCAATTGCCTTGGGTGCCATGCTCTCCGGTACACACGCCATCGTGTGGGATGCACCGTAGGTCATTCGGACCTGTAACACCCCAAGAACATCAAGCGTCAACAGTATTCTCTGCACCAGATCAGAATTTACTCAGGATTACTAACACTTTGATACAAAGGTAGGCAGTAAAAAGTCGAATTTTATTTCTGCTTTTTTGTTACAACTTCTCATTTGAGTGGTCATCTCATCTGACATAAAAACGTATGTTCATAGGGAATCCCACAGCACATACGCTGTTATGTCCGACAGCTACAGAGTTTAGATTGAGCAATGCTCACCATTTCCATAGTAGCATCGTCCTTCTTTCCACGAAGGATTAGTCTTGTGACAATACAGATTGTCCAAGTTGCAGCAGTTGCCTACTGTACCGTGCTCCCCTGTGCAAACGCCGTCATGATGAACGCACTGCGGCAAACCTGAAGTAAAGGAAAAAATCAATTTAGAAGTTCATTATGTCCCTGCATTGTGTAATTGGGTAACAACGGCATGACGTCCCATCGACCTTCTCGGATTCTGACGAAATCTGGTGGGCACGGTGGGTCCCTAGACGAGGACTTTTAAGCGAAAATTTCAGAACGAGGCTTCGCTTTTGCTCAGCCCGTAATTGCCAGAGTCTGAAGACTGGGTAGCAATCCTTCGTCGTGAGGAAAATTAGAGAAAAACGACTAAAAATTATCCTATTTCAGAAACTAAAATGACCCTGTAGACCCCAAAAGTGCCCTTCAATCGGTGTATGAGTTAATGCAATAGGAGTGAGGAACTTTTGCCTATAAATTGACCTATCTAATACAAGTGTTAAAAAAATGGTAACGTGTCACTTTTTTAAGCTTTACAATAACCTTGAACGGTGTTTCTTTTTTAAATAAATCGTGTGCGTTTCCAATTACCTAACGGGTAAGCTTAAGTGTCACTTTGTCGTTATTATTTTATTCGTCGACCGATTTCTGGGGTGGCCAACGGGGTCAAAAGAATTTCGATATGGAAGAGCGCCGCACAGAATCTCAATGTCGGTCGTAAATAATCCGCATTTTTTTTTTAAGTATTTGGGCCTATTATTAGGGGTTTCTCAACTCAACTTGTTCAAAGTTTAGTGAGTTGCAGTAAACTTCACTTCCTAACCCTTTTGATCAGAAATAGAAAATCAAACGCAGAACCGTTTATTAACACAACGAATTAGAAAGCACATGCACACTGCCTGGGTTCCAGGGGTTGCTGTGCTTATTTTGCTTACACTGTCAAGGACGCTCAACTTACTTGCATTCAGCAGCGTGCAGAAAGAAATAGCAAATACTGTTTGAAGAACCTGAAAACAAGTTCTACTATAAGCGCACACATCCTTATCATTCCTTCTGTGTAGTTTCGCATGGCTGGTTCTTCCGTGAATGCTCAATGACAATCAGGAAACCAACTTTGTTCTGCTTTTTAAACCTCTACTGAAACGGCAATAAGCAGACTAC